ATCGACTTCAGAGATAAGCATGGCTAGTCCCCTACAGTGTCTACGGATACTGTCAGGAGAGACATAGCGCTTTCTTTGATCTCGCCGGATGCGGATTCGAGGAGGAAGGCTACTCTGTTGTCGACTACGAGTCAGAACTTCAGACCGCCATGTCGACAACAGTTAGATAGGCTATCCCAAATATTATATTGGTGTGATTATGGTGAATAAGAGCAACGACCGGCTTCGGCCAACAGGAGTAGGGTTATTACTTCACAATTCAGGGGCCCGAACCTGTATAAAAATCATCGTCCCCATCTCTTTTATTACAACCTCGCATATATCCTAGTACCAACAATCCCCATACTATGCAAATACCGGAATCGCGACATCAAACGTCGACAATGCAGATGTTTAAACGTTTGATATGATAGGGTATAAAATTTAGGGGTGGGATCTAAACACCCCCCAAGTATAAATCGAGAACGATTTTAGCTAACGTGATGTGTTGACTTGTCATCATCTGACATGGCGTATATGTGGTGCTTATACGACTTTGCAATTAAAAAACCAGTTTGTCCCTAGTGTCAATCACAAGAAAAGAAAAAAAAAGGGATTCACATGTCATCCATTATTTACAAAGCTAGTTCATGAGAATCCCGTGCCACGTAATTGGTCGAGTCACATGGCAAGCTTAAGGCATCACTAGTCATCGCCTACTCAGGGTACAACAAGGATGCTCCTACACCTATCGGTACCATAAATGCCACAATAGTGGTGAGGGCAACGAAGGGCTAAAATCTCCAAGCACAAACTTCGTCTCCTCGTGGCACACAACATAACCATGGACTACCTAAATTCTCTTCTAATGGTATCCCAGCATACCCATGTAGTCGCACTATAAAATGCTTGGATGGAATTCCCCAAGAAATCAATCCTTAATGACAATACATAGTAAACCATACAGACTCAGCCTATTTATCATCAAGGTTGGCAATCAAGCTTTATTTCACAAACACACCGATATGGAACATCGGGTTTTGAATATTTCCCAAATGACAATGCAATCGTAGCAGGGCTAAGCCAAACTACCTCGGCGATCAAACCTGTAAGGTAAGTTGCTGGCACAATATTTGTGGAGCTACCGATGACATGTTATTTCAATATCCTACCATCTATAAGGGCGACTAATAGGTGGGGTACGTTGGTTACACGTGCAAACCAAGGCCAAACAGTTTAATGCGTGACCTAAGCATTCACATTTACAAACAATGCAATTTTGCATATATATATACATATATATATATATACACATATATATATATATATATATGTATATATATATATATATATCTATATATATATATATACACACACATACATACATTTACAAAAAAGTTTTACTCGCATATTCACTCATGAGTAAAAATTTTACTAGGAGTAAAATTTTTTACTTACGGTGACATGTACGAATCTCAAACGTCCATTTTTAGATCCAACAGTAATTTACAAGTTTTCACTACGTACGTAGTTTGAACTAAATAATTTTCCCTAACCATGTCGAAATAATCGGTACAATAATTTTTTTACTCGATAAATCTATTAGATGGAACTCTGATAAAGTGGACAGAGAACATGGAGTAATTTTTTCACTTAACAAATCTACGGGAGAACCCAATAAAGTGGAAAGTACAGGAAACGAGAGATGGATGCATTCGGAAGCACGAAAGCAATTTTTTTACTGGCCGATCAATGCATATTGAACAGGAGCTAGTAACTTTTTAACTACTCAATATGATATCGTGTGGACGCTGTTCAAAAAGTTAAATCCTTTTAACGGGACCTAATCTAATCGGGCAGTGATTTTTTTACTCGTGACTGGATACATGCGGCATGAGAAGCAAAGTGATTTTTTTACTCGCTCTTAGTGGGAACCAGCAGGTGTATCGAACCAAAAAAATCTGAGATTGAAAACAACTATGTCCTGGGTTCGACTCTCCGTGGGAGCGAATTTTCCAGGATTTAACGGCGTTGTGCTTTCAGTGATAGGCGATGTACCCATCGACAGCGAGGCGCCTGTGGTGACTTCGTCAATCTCTCCAGGATTTGCCGGCCCAGTCTTCGAAGATGCTCATAGGGGTAGGGTTTGCGTGCGTGCGTTCATAGGGGTGAGTGCGCGTGCGTTGTGAGTGTCTGCGTTGTACTGTGTAATTCTCAAAAAAAAAAATTTGGAGAGGATAGCTTAGGGGCGCTAGAGAAAAATCGATAAATCCGGGAGAGCAATTTTTTTACCGACGTTGGAACGTGGGGTGGGAGCGGGGACGCCAGAGAGGAGCGATGGAATGGAAAAACTGGGAGTGAGGGAAGTCGTGACTCGCGCTATGAAGTTTCGTAGCACACGGTGTTTGTGTGTGGCGCACTGAGTGAGAGAGAGAGAGGAGGCAATATAGTCAAAGGTGGCTTGCCTTGGTCTTGCGATGGTTCTTCCTTGTGAAAAACAGCTCCTGGATCATCCTCAGGCTCAGCAACTATACGTGAAAAAGAGTAAAACAGCACAAAAGCTACTAAAATAGCCATAACAAAGCAAAATAGAGGTGCCATTAGGTACATCTCATTTTTAGAAAAATTATGAAAGTTGAACGGATTTACGGTTTGCAAGATATGAATTTTCAAAGTTTAAAAGATTTTCTGTTTAAAGGAAAAGTAGTTTCTTTTATTGGAAAGGAATATTCTGGAACAAGACTCCTTGTAAGGCCCACATTCAGTGACACCAGGGGGTCGGTCCATGGTAGACTGGGTCTACCTCGCACGCGGCGCGGTGACGGTGAGGCGGTAGAACACTTGTGGCGTGGGTGCTCGACCATACTAAGCGATGGAGCACGAGGAGCCGAGGAGGCGCGGTGATGGACTGGGAGCAGCGTCGTTGGCACGGCACGAACGTTGGGGCAAAAGCGAGACGCGGGGGGAGGGGGGGGGGGGGGGGCAAGGTGTCGCACGACGACGGGTTGGGCGACGTCTGCGTGGGACCGCGTGATGACGCATGCGACAGTGGCCGGCACTGTGCGAGGAAGTCGTCGGCTGGGCCCACTTTACCAGCGGGGGACGCGGGGAGAAGGTGGAGGCACATCCCGCGGGTTCGTCGCGGAGCGGCACGACGCGACACTGAGCACGGCTGTGCACGACATTGTGCGTCTCGCCCCATTTTGTCGAGCAGGTGGTGGGCAGGCGCGAAGGCTGCCAGGGAGGAGGAAGGAGTAGCTGGGCTGGACCTGGACTAGGCCAGTCGGGAGGGGGAGAAAAATGAGTCGGCCTGGGTGGCTGGGTGCTGGGCTAGGGGAGGGAGAGGAAAGGAGAACGATTTTACTTTATCTCACTCGAAAGATTTTTTTTATTTCTCACTCGATTTTCTCACTTAAATTTACAGTGCATTTTCTTGTAAGTTACAGTGTACACTGTAACTTTTGTAAGTTACACTGTAATTTTTGAATCTTCACATGTAAATTTTAAATTTTGTATTGGATTTGGTCTTTTTCTTGAGGATATGGTAATTTAATGTTCATTATGGTGTTTCTTAATTGCTTTTTGCTTTTTATTATATCTATCGGATTTTAATACAAAGATTAAAAATCTGTGTGATACGATTATAAAAATCTTTCGAAAGATGTATAGGTACTCCCGAAGGAGAAAGTCTAGAGCCCAAAGTGAATATGCTTTTATTATTATTATTTTCCTGGAATTTGGGATCTGGAAATTGAAGGGGATTTGAATAGGACTGAAATTTGGATTCAACAATAGCTGTAAATGGACTGTGGACTTTAATAAGAAGCGACTCCGGCTCGGACGCCCGATAGGAGGAGGTTAAAATCGAGCACTGATGTCGCTCAATTTACGTGCAAAACTATTTTAAATTGATTTTTCTCTTAAATTACTTATCCAAATCATGATCCGATTGCACCATTAAATTCATTGGAATTAAATCTTCAAAGCAAGACCACACATGGATATATTCCGACGAAAAAAATTTTTAGCTTATTATTGAATTATTTTTAAATGTTGCACGATGTTCCATCAGGTATATCGGAATTGTTTCACTAAGTAGATCGAAAATGTTTCACTCGTTTAAATCAGGTGTTGTTTCACCTTATATGAAAATAATATTTCAGCAAATAGCGAAAGAATGTTTCAGTTCACTGCAACATTAGATCTATACATAGTGAAACATTGTGAGTACACTAGGTGAAACATTTTTGGTGGAACAAAAAAAATAAAACGAATTCCCTTAATAGAGGGTTTCCAAAATATGTGGGTGATTTTTTGTAATGGAATATTTTTGTTCACTGCAACATTAGATCTATACATAGTAAAACATTGTAAGTACACTAGGTTAAACATTTTTTTGTGGAACAAAAAATAAACCAAATTCCCTTAATAGAGGGTTTCCAAAATATGTGGGTGATTTGTTTCAATGGAGTATATGGTGGATATACATGGTGGGACCAGGAGGAGACACTGCGCGTCAGGGAGGGGGGAGCGCCCAATCCGGGTTCCCCCACGCCGGTCGCCCGATGTTGAGCATTTCTGCTTTAATAATTCTAGGACTTTGTATGTGGACTTTTGGATGAATGATTTGAGATCTTTAGTGGCACAACCAAAATTCAAATGAGAGCCAAATTAATTTTGAAAATAAATTTTGTATTTAAGTTAGGTTTTTAAACGGAGGTGAAAAATCATGATGTTACAATCTTGAACGGCGGTGGCAGTGGAGGAGCAAGAGAGAGAGGGGGATAGAAAGAAGTGCTGACACATGGGTCTATACTTTTTTTTCTGGTCACTGACGTATGGATCCCACTAGTATTTCTTTTGTTCTTTTTATGAGATAGTATGTCAAAATTTGACTGGAGGTAATAAAAAGGAGAATAAAAAAAAGATTGCTCCAATTCAAACAAAAATTAAGAAAAATATAGAACTTTTCGTAAAAATATTATGTGGCTGGGAGCATGGAGTGAGGAGGAAGAACACTATTTGAAGCTGACGTTTGGGTCACCGGTTAAAAATGCAAAATTTGGTAATAAAACCCGGTCAAAAGTTTTTTTTTAAAAAAAAACTGCTAATAGCTAGTAATTTACAATTTGGGAAATAAAACCTGACATAAAGTACAGTATACTTTAAAATTTTCGAATAAGATGAATACCAAACAATTAATGGGACCGTATATTAAAACGGAGAAAGTGGAACGAATTGTACTTGAGTTGTAGGACTAGCACACATGCATATGTCGTCCTTGTAAAGTAAACGTGGAGGTATATTACTGGGAAGTTGAGTTTTTTCTGTGCTGTGTGTTGGGTGCGCGCGTGCTTAATCATATTAAATTTTAGTTTAAATCTTTAGTTTTCCTAAGCCACTACCAACAGTAACTTGCTTCACCAGCGACCAATATTTTGCTATAGTGCAACAGTTCCTTCCGGCTGCGCAGTGGCGTAGCCAGGAATTTTTCTTTAGGTAGTCCTAGTTCACACGTTCATGTCACGTGGTAAAATTTTCCTTGCACCATAAAACTGATATACAAATACAAATTTTGTGAAAATGTGATAGAAATAATATCTTCCAATGTCCATAAGCGGCTTACTTAACAAGCAAGTTCAAAATGTGCAAATATTACAACATAGAAAGTTCAACAATCAATATAGATCTTACACATAAATAGAAAATTACAAAGCCACTACCGCAGTGTACGCTTGGCCTTAGTCATGAAAGTTTGTATAATGTCTTCCTCACTAACTTTGGAGAAGATGTCTTTCTCAGTATATGTGACTAAGCAATGATTCAATAGATCATCATATATTCACTAATCAGTAACAATTTATAAATTGCATACTCAGTTATTCACAGACTCACTAATCTCTAATCACACTTCACAAATCGATTTAGCCATTTAGGAAGCTATTCGTTACCTGGGCTGAGCCACGGAGGGGAGACGGCGGCACGGAGCGGCGTCGGCGCGGACGGCGGGGAGGCCGAAGGGGAGGACGGTGTGGCGCTGGCGCGGACGGCGGTGGCGACGCCGGCACGGAGACGCGGAGTCGCGGCCTCGCGAGGAGGGGATGGGACGGCGGTGGCGGCGCCGCCTCGCCGGCGGGGAGTCGCATAAGGAGGGGAGGCCGGAGGGGATGGCACAGCGTCGGCGCGGACTGCGGGGAGCCGGCTAGCTGGGGACGACACCGGGCACCGGCGCGGAGTCACAGTCTCGCGGAGGCTGGCGGCTGGCGGCGTTGGGCTCGGGCGATTGGGCGAACTGGCTGAGACGCTGAGTGCCTGGGACTCTCCAACCCTAATGTTTCTGGGCTATTTGGGCCAAGCAACCTATTTGGGCCTAAATTTTTTAGGGGGTGGGGGGTCTTTGGGCCAAATTTTAGGGTAGTCCCGAGCCCACCGGGACTACCAGCTAGCTACGCCCCTGCGGCTGCGTGTGCCATGCGATGCTCTGTCGTGGCTGTCATCTGTCCGTCCGCTTGCCAACCCGATATGCTTGCCCTCTCCACCACACATCACACACCCATCAATCCTCAATTCATCTGCTTGCCCTCTACAGCACACACCCATCAATTCTCAATTTATGAAAAGAAATCCCTAATCCATCGGAGAAATCGACGCCAACCCCTCCGCCCCATCGATCACCAGTTCGCCGACGACTGCCTTTCTCTTCCCCGACCTGCGTTCTTCCCCACCCACCGCCTGTGATTGTAGGGTTGCCCCGTGGTGGTTGTCGCTGGTTATAGTCGTCGTCCAGCTATCTCTATTGGTCAGGCTGCCGGCGCACTGGCCGCACCCATCAAGGCTCCCGATTGTTGCCCTGGTCGAGCGGCTGCCATCTGCCAGCACGTCCGCTCCGGACAGCTGACTTCATCCTCGGTTTTCTTCGGTAAGCCATTTTTCTCTATACCGCTCTTTCTTGCTGTTGCTTCCTGAAGACACGGTTTATTAAAATAATATCACATACCGACGTTGTGCTCGATCACAAGCTATCAAGAGAAAGAAGGCTACTATGGTTGAATACTTTGCATATAGGCTTCATGACAGAGCTGATGACATCAATACTCCTATGCGCTGCAAGAGAGCTGCAAGAGAGGAACCCAGGCTTATGTCATAGATGCCTATTGTTGTATGGAAGAATCTCACCTGAGTCACTACAGATTCAAGACATTTCAGCTTAAGTATAGAGCAGCTTCATTCAATGAGGTATCCACTATGGTCCATTCAGGCATCACAGAAGCATCAGATGCCGGGTAGCGAGTTATATTGCCTTCTTCTTATATTGGGGGGCCAAGATATTTATACCAAACTTACTTAGATTCGGTTGCTCTATGTAGAAAATATGGTTGCCCTGATTTGTTTATCACTTTCACATCAAACTAGCCACTCGGTTGCGCTTCGCGCAACTCTAAGTTACGGCATAACCTATCTATATGAGTGGGCAATCAATAGAGTCAGTTTGGTGAGGATACTACCGCCTCTATCGTAAAATATATTACAATTGAGTCGGTTTGATTTATTTATCTAAGTTTTTTTTAAGCGTGAGTTATTTTTTTATGTTTGCAAAATTAATTGAATTATCCGAATGATCAAACACATATAAAAAATTCAACGGCACCATATATTTAAAAATGAAGATAATATTACCTATTTTCAGATTTCTTGAGATGGATTTCCATTAAGAAAAAAAAGGTAAAATTAAAAATGAAAGGTTGTGATTGATGTAGGTAACAAAGTAAATGAATAAATTAAATATTTTTTCTTTATTGATCAAGGTAAAATTGATGGAGTATTGCAGCCTCACATGACTGGAAGGACTATTAACCTTAAAAAAAAATATTAACCTCACATGACTGAAAATATTCTTTACCTCGAAGAACTGGAAGGACTACAATATTTTTTACCTTGAAATTTACGGGTGAGGCTACATTCAATATTTTTTTCTTTATTTGATCAGTCGATCAATTAATCGAAGTAGTGTTTTACAGCCCCATCGTTTGGCCTAAAAAGCCAAAGAATAAGCCAAAATTTGAATTTTTAAACTTGATTTTGAAGTTGATTTTAAAATGCTTTTAACGTAATTTTTGTTAATGTTGGCTTTTAAGTCGCTACTGTCGGTGACATGGGACCGGGAGTATCATGACTTAGAGACTTGAGGCAGACACGATCACCCACGTGGCCTAACCCCCTCGGGGGGGGGGGGGGGGGGTCGGGCCCGAGGGTGATACGGCCGCCCTTCTCTTTGTCTCCCCGAGGGGTCGGACCGCTCCCGTCTCGGCCCCGAGGGCCGAGGCGCCCCGACCCCTTGTGGGTTTTGCGCCGCGTATATAGGGTAGGTGAGCATAACGGGGCTCACCTAACCGCATTTATTGCGGTTTGGACGAGCGCGTCACGCCACATGTAGCGCAGTATGGCACGCTCGTTTATCCGGTCTGTGACCGGTCACAGATCGGTCAGATTGCGGGTTAGGAGGCAACAGGCGATCTGACACACGCCTCGCCCCGTCCCGTCAGGATGAGAGTCTCTAGGCACTCGTCCCTAGCCGGAGCCAGCGTGCTAGCTCCTGGAGATGGCACGTTGGTCCTGGTCAGATATATGCCAGGCTTTATCCCAACCATTATAAGCAAGACGTTGTATGAAGAAGGGCGAACATGCAGATTGCTAAACTGACACGTGGTGGACAAAGGTGACCGGTCTGTGACTGGTCTGACACTGGTTATGTCGCCGGAAGACAACCGTGTTCCCACGTTGCAGCTGCTTCCGGCGGAGTGGAGGTAGGTATGGGCCGTCCCATTAGAAGGGTCACTCGGGCAGCAACCGTTGCAAATCTCCGCCCATTTATGAAGAGATGACAGGGTGATCCCCGAGGTCAGACGAACGAGGACGCGTGGCCACACTAAAAAACAGGCAGTGTTTCAGCTTCCAAGAGAAGGCAAGCCAAGTTTTACTATAGATAGGATGGGCCCCCACCCAAAAAGAGAGAGAGGGAGAAGTGGTGCATGTGGTATCCCCTTGAGATATAAAAGGAGGACCTTGCCCACTTAAGAGGGAGAGGCCGGAAGGGGGGATGATCTGGAGAGGGGATCCCATGAGAAAAAAAAAGGAGAAGAGGGTTTTTAGAATAAGAGCTCTCTGGCTCTCCAGCTCTTTGTAGCTTCTTCATACACAGATCCACCAGAACACAGGAGTAGGGTATTACGCTTCTCAGCGGCCCGAACCTGTATACATCGCCCGTGTCTTGTGCTTTTTCCATTCTCGCGAACTTTCCACAGACTAGGAGCTTAGAATCTCACCTAGGGCCCCCGGCCGAACCGGTAAAGTGGGGCCTGCACGGTCTCCCGGTGAGGAGCCCCACGCTCTGTCATCTGGCGCGCCAGGTAGGGGACTCTGCGTGTGTTTTTCTAAGCTCCCGCATTCTTTCGTGTGCGCCAAGCTTTTCCTGTTCAGCCCAATGGCCGAACAAGCAAAGGCGCACAACCTCTCTCCGAGTGTTAGCGGTGACGATGGGGAGCCGAACCCACGCCATCGAGCTCGTACTCCACCGCCCCCTCCACGCCAAAGTCCTAGGCGGGAGGAGGCGCTCGAGAGGGTCGAAGGATCCGCGACTTCGACATCCACGGGTGATGGGGAAGGGCGGCGAGATGGGGAGCGTCGCCTCCTCGTCTACGGCGACGGCAGCACGCCCCAGGGCGCGCTCCAAGCTGCGGGCGCGCTCCTACGTCACCCGCTCATTGTCCCTGACCCGGAGTCTCCAGCCCAACGTTGGCTGGACGACGTGGCCAACTTGGTCATGACGGCGCGGCAGCGCCTAGATGCTGGTGGGCGGTCCTCCGCCACCAAGACCTCTGGTACTGCTACCACCGGCTCCGCGTCGTCAAGACGGAGGGCGCGGCGAGCGGCGGCCGCTGTTCGCCATTCGGCCGCCACTCCTTCGTCAGCGCCTCCGACCCGGGAAGATCTGCGTGGGGGGCCGGATGCCCGCATCAGTATCGAGCGCCGGCGTAATGGCCGACGTGCTGCCCACGCAACGGAGGGCGCCTCCTCGTCCGGAGTGTCACCTCAACACGGACGCGGGGATCAGCCCTCCGTGCCCCCGGTTGGTGGTGTCGGCTGTAGAGCCTTTGTGGCGAGCCTTCGGAACGTCCGTTGGCCCCCAAGGTTCCGGCCCACCATCGCCGAAAAATATGACGGGAGCGTCAACCCCGCCGAGTTTCTCCAGGTCTACACGACCGGGATCGAGGCCGCCGGGGGTGACGACAGGGTCATGGCGAATTTCTTTCCCATGGCCCTGAAGGGACAGGCGCGGGGTTGGCTAATGAACTTGCCACCCGCGTCCGTCCACTCTTGGGAGGACTTGTGCCAACAGTTCACCATGAACTTTCAAGGCACATATCCGCGTCCAGGTGAGGAAGCGGACTTGCACGCAGTACAGCGAAGGGATGAGTCACTTCGCTCATACATTCAGCGGTTCTGTCAAGTCCGCAACACCATACCATGCATCCCTGCACACGCGGTGATCTACGCGTTTAGGGGGGGGTGTGCGGCACAACCGCATGCTCGAAAAGATCGCCTCCAAGGAGCCCCAGACTACCGCGGAGCTTTTTCAGCTCACGGACCGAGTGGCTCGTAAGGAGGAGTCATGGACCTGGAACCCCTCCGGTTCTGGTGTGGCAGCTTCGGCCGCCCCCGGATCCGCTGCTCGGACAGGGCGGCGTGACAGGAGGAGGAAGAAAAGGTCAGCCCATTCCGACGACGAGGGTCATGTCCTCGCCGTCGAGGGTGCTTCGCGGGCCACCCGAAAGGGGAGGCCTGCGAGCGACAAAAAGGAGGCCAGCGCTCCCAGCAGGGAGCGCCCAACCGGCAAGTGGTGCACCGTCCACAACACCTCCCTTCACGACCTCGCGGACTGCCGTGCAGTCAAAAGTTTGGCTGAGTGGACGAGGAAGTGGGAGGAGGAGAGGAGGCAGGAGCGCCGAGAGGGCAAGTCCCCGGCGGTTCCTTCCGGCAATCGGCGAAGAGAGGCCAAACAGAAGGCCCCCGCCGAGGACATCGATGACGGCGATGATGACCTGGGTTTCCAAGAGCCTGGGGCCACCATTGCCACTGTCGATGGGGGAGCGTGTGCTCACGTTTCTCGCCGGAGCCTCAAGGCCATGAAGCGAGAGCTTCTGGCCGCGGCCCCTACTCATGAGGCGACGCGCCGGGCGCGGTGGTCAGAGGTTGCCCTCACCTTCGACCAGACCGACCACCCACCGTGCGTTGCCCGAGGAGGACAGGTCGCAATGGTGGTTTCCCCCACTGTTTGCAACGTGAAGCTGGGGCGTGTCCTCATTGATGGGGGAGCAGCCCTCAACATCCTTTCCCCCGCAGCCTTTGACGCCATCAAGGCCCCGGGGATGGTGCTCCGGCCGTCCCAGCCGATTATCGGTGTGACGCCGGGGCACACTTGGCCGCTAGGTCATATCGACCTCCCGGTCACCTTCGGTGGATCCGCCAACTTCCGCACGGAACGGGTGAACTTTGATGTGGCGGACCTCAGTCTGCCCTACAACGCGGTCCTAGGGAGGCCCGCGTTGGTGAAGTTCATGGCGGCGGTCCATTACGCCTACCTCCAGATGAAGATGCCGGGCCCCGGTGGCCCCATCTCTGTCCATGGCGACCTCAAAGTCGCGCTCGCTTGTATGGAGCAGCGCGCGGACCACCTCGCCGCTGCGTCCAAGCCCGAGGGTGGCGACGAGAGGCTTGGCACCTCCGTCCCCGCCGCCCCGAGGCAGCGGATAGTCACGTGCGACGAGGTCCCGGTCAAGGAGGTTGCCCTGGGCGACGGCCCGTCCAAGACCACACGAATCGGTGGTCTTCTGGATGGCAAATAGGAAGACGCGCTCGTCTCCTTCCTGCGGGCAAACGCTGACATCTTCACATGGAGACCGGCGGATATGCCCGGGGTCCCTAGGGAGGTGATTGAGCACCGTCTCGCCGTGCGGCCGGGCGCAAAGCCGGTCCGGCAGAAAGTGCGCCGGCAGGCCCCGGAACGTCAAGCTTTCATCCGCGAGGAGGTGGCGCGACTTCTGGAGGCCGGATTCATCCGCGAGGTCATCCATCCGGAGTGGCTGGCGAACCCGGTGGTCGTTCCCAAGGCGAACGGCAAGCTTCGGATGTGCATCGACTACACCGACCTTAACAAGGCATGTCCTAAGGACCCTTACCCCCTTCCTCGCATAGATCAGATTGTCGACTCCACAGCGGGGTGCGACCTTTTGTGTTTTCTAGATGCATACTCTGGTTACCATCAGATTCGCATGGCTAGGGAGGATGAGGAAAAAACTGCGTTCATTACCCCCATAGGAACTTATTGTTATACGACAATGCCATTCGGGTTAAAGAATGCAGGTCCTACTTTTCAACGTACTACTCGAATTTCTTTGGGTAGCCAAATAGGACGTAATGTTGAGGCTTATGTCGATGACTTGGTTGTGAAGACCCGCGACCGAGAAACTTTACTTTCAGATCTGGCGGAAACTTTCGAGAGTCTCCGCTCCACCTGCATAAAGCTGAACCCCGATAAGTACGTGTTCGGTGTACCTGCGGGCAAGCTTCTCGGGTTCTTGGTCTCTGCCCGAGGCATTGAGGCCAACCCCGAGAAGATACGAGCTATAGAACGGATGCGCCCCCCCAGCAAGCTTAGGGATGTGCAATGCGTCACCGGTTGCATGGCCGCCCTAAGTCGGTTCATATCGAGGCTGGGAGAGAAGGCGCTACCCTTATTTAAGCTCCTCAAACGCTCCGGGCCGTTTACCTGGACGGAGGAAGCTGAACGTGCCCTCACTCAGTTGAAGGCGTATCTTAGCTCTCCCCCAGTTCTGGTCGCCCCGGAGCCAGGTGAACCCTTGCTACTCTACTTAGCGGCGACCCCGCAGGTAGTTAGTGCGGCGTTAGTTGTGGAGCGCGATGAGGACAACCCTCATTCCGCGCATCCCCACCCTGTGTTGGCTTGGCCCGGGAGAGAGCAGGGAGGAGAGGCTCCCGAGCCGAACGGTGGCCCAAGGCCCCCGACGACCGGAGCTGGCCCTCTGCCCGCTTGTCAGACGGTGCCAGGTGCCCCCGACCCCCAGGATGGCCCGGGGGCCACTGCGGGAAGGCCGCACCTATCGCCCTCTGACCCCGAGGTTAACCCTGTGCCGACTCGACCCGGGAGAGAGCAGGGAGAAGAGGCCCCCGAGCCGAACGGTGGCCTAAGGCTCCCGATGACCGGGGTTGACCCTTTGCCCGCTTGTCCGACGACGCCAGGAGCCCCCGACCCCCAGGACGGCCCTGAGGCCACTGTGGGAAGGCCGCACCTGTCGTCCTCCGACCCCGAGGTCGTCAGCACAGAAGACAAGTGCGCCCCGCGAGGCCGCTTGGACGAAGAGCGCCCCAGGGATGCGACCCCTGGCGAAGAGGATCGGCCCCACCGAAAGGTGCAGCGGCCCGTCTACTTTGTTAGTGAGGCCCTCCGGGACGCCAAGACCCGATACCCTCAGGTCCAGAAGATGCTTTACGCTATTATGATGGCTTCGAGGAAACTGCGCCATTATTTTCAGGCGCATCGGGTCACGGTGGTTACGTCTTACCCCCTCGCCCAAATCTTGCATAATCGAGAGGGTACAGGACGGGTGGTGAAATGGACAATTGAACTTTCTGAGTTCGATTTGCACTTTGAACCACGTCACGCTATCAAGAGCCAGGCCCTCGCCGATTTTGTGGCAGAGTGGACCCCGGCTCCCGAGCCCGTCTCAGTCCCCGAGGCCAGCTCGGGCCCCTCGCAGCTGCCTCACACCGCCCACTGGGTGATGCAGTTCGACGGCTCCCTGTCTCTTCAGGGCGCCGGTGCGGGGGTCATATTGACCTCACCGAGCGGAGACGTCCTCAGATACCTGGTTCGCCTTGACTTTCGGGCGACCAATAATATGGCAGAGTACGAGGGACTCCTTGCGGGACTCAGGGTGGCAGCTGGACTGGGGATCCGCCGCCTCCTGGTGTTAGGCGACTCCCAGCTAGTGGTTAACCAGGTCTGTAAGGAATACCGGTGCTCTGACCCGCAGATGGATGCTTACGTACGCCAAGTACGACGTATGGAGCGCCATTTCGACGGGATAGAGCTTCGGCATGTGCCCAGACGGGATAACACGATTGCCGACGAACTCTCACGGCTCGCTTCCTCACGAGCCCAGACCCCACCGGGCGCCTTTGAAGAAAGGCTTGCCCAGCCATCGGCGCGACCTGACCCCTTAGGGGAGACGGACGCACCTGACCGGCCCCCGAGGCCCGTCGGAGTCCAGGCCTCGGGACCCGAGGGGAGCGCTCCCAGCTCCCTTAGATTGATTGCTTGGATCGTTAAGATCCAAGCATACCTCACAGATAAGACTCTACCCGAGGACCGCGAAGGAAGTGAACGCGTCCAGCGCATCTCCAAACGCTACGTGCTGATAGAAGGGACCCTCTATCGGCGCGCGGCTAACGGAATCCTCCTGAAGTGCATTCCTCGGGAACAAGGCGTCGAGCTTCTTGCTGATATCCATGAAGGCGAATGCGGAGCCCACTCCGCCTCGCGCACCTTGGTTGGCAAAGCCTTTCGTCAAGGTTTCTATTGGCCAACAGCTCTCAATGATGCGGTCGACCTGGTCCGGCGATGCAGAGCGTGTCAGTTCCACGCCAAGCAAATCCATCAGCCGGCCCAGGCACTGCAGATCATTCCACTTTCATGGCCGTTTGCTGTCTGGGGGCTCGATATCCTGGGTCCGTTTAGGCGGGCCCCGGGCGGGTTTGAGTATCTGTATGTCGCGATCGACAAGTTCACTAAGTGGCCCGAGGCTTATCCGGTCGTCAAGATCGATAAGCACTCCGCACTTAAATTCATTAAGGGCATCACAGCCCGGTTTGGGGTGCCTAACCGTATTATTACGGATAACGGCACCCAATTCACTAGTGAGCTTTTCGGTGACTACTGCGAAGACATGGGCATTAAACTCTGCTTCGCCTCACCCGCCCACCCCAGAAGCAATGGCCAAGTGGAGCGCGCCAATGCGGAAATCCTCAAAGGCCTTAAAACCAAGACCTTCAACATCCTCAAGAAGCACGACGATTCGTGGATCGAGGAGTTGCCAGCAGTGCTCTGAGCCAACCGAACCACACCAAGCCGAGCAACCGGGGAAACGCCTTTCTTCCTCGTCTACGGCGCGGAGGCGGTTCTCCCATTCGAGCTCACCCTGAAGTCCCCTCGGGCCACCATGTACTGCGAGGCTGATCAAGATCAGCTTCGCAGAGATGACCTCGACTACTTGGAAGAGCGAAGGCGGCGCGCGGCCCTCCGAGCCACACGCTACCAGCAGAGCCTGCGGCGCTACCATCAGCGCCACGTCCGGGCACGTTCACTCTGCGTCGACGACCTCGTCCTACGCCGCGTCCAAACGCGTGCTGGATTGAGCAAGCTCTCACCAATGTGGGAGGGTCCGTATCGAGTGATCGGCGTCCCCCGGCCGGGCTCCGTTCGGCTGGCCACGGGCGACGGCACAGAGCTGCCTAACCCGTGGAACATTGAACACCTTCGTCGCTTCTACCCCTAATGGAGTTCGGGTGTCAGGTTTCGGGCTCGGGCCAACCCCGCACCCCCTTCAGGCGTGCAGGGTTGGCCGGGGGCTACCACATATGCATATTTTTTCTTCTATCTGTATTTCAATAAAAGCATTTTCGATTTCCTAAAGGCTGTATCTGTGCTGTTGTTCCCTTTTGAAGAATCTTGACTTAAAATAGGTCACTTGTGCTCAATCCTGCCCTCGGGGGCTCGGGTCGGCTAAAATCGCCAAAAGGGGCCCAGAACCGAGCCGTGCCCCGGGGCGTGGTGAACTCCGGGGGGAAATCGGCAAAAACCCACAATCGGGTCACCCATAACCCTCGGTCACCACGCTCCCGGCCTGGCCAGTCTCGACACGTGGATCTCCCCAGGCACTAGCCCCGACCCGCGCCTTTTGAGGACTGGGACCTGGGCACGAGCCCTTAATCAAGTTAAGACATAAAAGGACCACGGCACAGATCATCCTCATCTCATACACATAGCAAAATGAAATTGACACAGAAATTTCTTTATTTTGATTGCAGATTAAGTTAATCTATACAAAAAGGAGGCCCGAAGGCCTTGGAAGAAAGAAAAGAAGAAAAAACTGAGGATTGGCGGGGGCCTGGGGGCTCACTCCGATGCACCCGGGTCGCCAGCCTCGTCGCCACTATCGCCCACACCGCCGTCATCGTCCTCCTCGTCGGAGTTGAGGGCGAACGCGAGCCGAGGGGCCGAACCCTCGAAGCTGTGGACGATATGGTCGGCGGCATCCCGGACCTGCGCGCGCGCGCCGTCCTCAGTCCCGGGAGGGAACTCGTCCAGCGCCGTCCATGCGGAGAAGTCGGGGTCCCTGGCCTGGTAACTCGCCAGTACGAGCTCCACCGCTCCTCGGGCGAGGTCCCTCGAGGATGACTTAATCGTCCCCTCGAGCTCCTCGGGGAGCCGCTGGAGAGTCCCGGCCATCTCCGAGAGGCGCTGGGCGAGGCCCCCCTGGTTGGCGGCGTACTTCACAGTCCGCCCGCCCCAGAGACCCGCCTGCCGCCCGGCGCAGTCTAAACGGGACACGGCGTCGCGAAGCATGCTGGGCCCTATCTCGCCTGCCAGGCGAAGGGCCTCGACCTCCCCGGTGGACGAATCCAGCGCGCCCTGCAGATCCGCGATGGTGTGTTCGGCAGCTGCGAGGCGGGCGGCTAAGTCGCTGTCGCCCGTGGCTGCCCCGCCGCTACGCGCCCTTGCATCCAGCTCCCTTGCCTGCGCCTCGAGTTCAGCGGCCCGCTGGTTCAGTGCGGCCCTCTCGGCGCGGGCACTTTCCAGATTGCGACGCGCTTGTTCCTCTTGCGCAGCTTCGCGGAGGGACGCGCTCTCCACTAGCCTCTGTGCTGCGGCCTCGGCCTCCTCGAGGGCTCGCTCCCGCTCGGTGAGCGTATCCTCGTGGAGGCGGAGTGCGGACTCTTCTTCGGCACAGGCGGCTTCGTGCACCGCCAGTGTGACCTCCCGAATAGCAACGGCGGCCTCGCGGTCCGCCAGGTCCCTCTCCACGACGCAGGCACGCTCTTCCAGCGCCATGGCACGGGCCTCAAGGGTTTCTTCGCGCCGCCGGGATGCCACCTCGGTCTCCGCCGCCCGCCGTTCTCGGGCAGCGGCAGCGTCAAGGACCCCCCGGGCGGCGTCGAGCTTCTTCCCTAGCTCCGCCTCCTAGCTCCCGTATTGAAGGCGGAGGTCGTCCTGCGCCTCGTTCATCACGGTAGTGGCGATGAGGGCAGCCCCCCTCTCCTCCTCCACCTCCCTGGCGATCTCCCCCAGCATCTTCCGACGGGCTTCGAGCTCTGAGACGTGCCGGCGGTGTGCCTTACGGCCCACCTCCACCATGGCCTCCACCGAGCGACGCCCCTCTTCGACACGTGCCCATGCGGCGTCGAGCTCCACCCGCTCTGCTTGCAAGGCCTCCATCTGGGCACTTAACCCGTCCAACACCGTGGTGTTAGCGACGGCCAAGGCCTGCAGAAGAGGCTCTGCGCTCAGTGGGGCAGCGGAAGGCGTGGGGGAGAGCCGCCTCGGTGAGGATGCCGCGCGGCTCGGCCCGCCGATGGACGTGCCGGACTCAGGGATGTCCCCCGACCTGGCTTGTCCTGAGCGTCGCCCGAGGGAGTGGGCCCAAGCGATGCGCCTGCGACCTCGTCGCGAGCTGCCTCGGAAGTCGTCGCCGCCTCGGCCTGGCGAAGTCTGGCCTCCTCCCGAGCGGCTTCTTCAGCTTGGCGAGCTCGGACGGCCACCTGGGCGGCCTCCTCGGCTTCCCGTAGGCGATTCGCGGCTTCTCGCCGGTCAGATTCCCGCCTCCGAGCCTCCGTGGTCGCCGCATTTTCGGCCTCAGATTGGCCGGACTTGAATTGGCAAGAAGGACGCGACGGGATCTCGCTGAAGCAGAAGAAAAGCCAGAAGACAAACAAGATGGGTGAATGAAAACTTGTGTTGGAAGAATGAATACAGCCACAATGGGCGTGGGACGAACTTGCGAGGGGGTCGGTTAAACGACCACCTTGGAGGGGAAATGAGGTTTCCCCGGGATGGTTCTGTCCCCCCCATCTTGCGGAGCCGTTTCTTCTTCCGCTCCCCCTCGGGCTGCGGCGTCGGTGCGGCCCCCTCCGGGCGCCTGCTGCTGACACGCGCCGCCCCGCCCCCTCGGGGAGGAGATGGGGAGGAAGTACCCTCTTGCTTCCTCTTCCCTCGGGCGTCGGCAGGGCGGCTGCCCCCCGAGCCCCCATCACGGGGCCCGGAAGCACAACCCCCTCCTAGGGTAGATTGATCTCCCTTGCGTCTCCCGCTCGCACCGTCATGGCCCTTAGGAGCTCGTTCCTCTGAGGCCCCGACCGCCATCATGATGGACAGGATGTTGGCGCGATCTGGATCGCTGCAGAGGGGGAGGACTCCTTGGGGGATGAGGGATGCCTCCGCGGAGCTGAGATTCAGCACCCGTTGGATCATTACCTTGAAGTCTTCGGGGACCCTGTCCCATTTGACCCCCCGGTGGGTCCTCATACAGTCCTCGGACCCGGTGTACTCCCAGGCGCCCCGGGCGCGCCGCTGGAGTGGCGCGATCCGGCGACGAAGATAGTCGCCGAACACCATGGCCCCTGTGAGCCCCTGGGATCGCAGGCCCGCCAGGCGGTCGAGGACGGCGTCGTAGCCATCTCCCAGATCTACCGGCGCCCGCCAGTTGGAGGCCTGCGCTGGAGGCTGGCTCGGAAGTCGGAGGCGCGCTTCGTCGGCGAGGGGGGTGTAGAACCAGTCGCTCTTCCAGTCATCCCACTTCTTGCGGAGGACGCAGGGAATGTAGCGGTTCAGCACCGGCCCCCGCGGCTGGAAGTAGCAACCACCAACCACCGACGGCGGCGACACCGGCTGTACGGTGAAGAACCACCAGAACAGCCGAAGGGATGGGCGCACCCCGATGAACATCTCGCACAGGTGCGCGAAGATGGCCAATGTCATTACCGCGTTGGGGGTGAGGTGCGCCATCTGGAGATCGTAAAACTCCAGAACATCCATGAAGAAAGAAGAAAATGGCGGAACCAGCCCTGCCATAGCAAAAGGGAGGAAGAAGACGGACCGCCCCGGGTAGCGTGGCGCCGGGCATCCCTCGCCCAGCGAGACTATCTCCCGGCCGGTGGCAGATTCCGGCATGAAGCGGCGCGGCAGCCCGGCCTGTCTCTCGCTCACGATGCGGGAAGGCGGCAGCACGCTACCGTCAAGCGGAGCGGAGCCCCGTGCCATGACGCCGGAAGAAGAGATGTTTGAGAGCGAGCGCGTGTGGCGAAGGTAGGGCACAGGAAACAAGGAGTTAGGGCGCAAGCGGCGAAGACAAGGGGAATAATGGCGAGAGGAAGGAAGCAAATCTCTTCCTCGGCGACTTTATACCCTTGCCAACGCTGTGCCCGGCTCCTCGTTTCTCGCGCCCACTATCTTGCCCCCTCGTTTCTCGCGCCCACGCTTCCACTAATCCCATTCGCCCGTTTGCGGTGCATGAGGTGGATATGCGGCTGTGGCAGTCGAGATGGAACATATCGTGCGCGCGTTAATTACGCTCGCCGACCGAAGCGCCATCACCATATCTCCAGGAAAAACGAACCGGCTTGTCCCGATTTTTAGACCTGCCCCACCTGTCACCAGGCCTTAGGAAGTGGCGTCACGCCCGACCGCTTCCCTCGAGGAGGGCGATCGCCCTGGCATAACGCCGGGGGCTACTGTCAGTGACATGGGACCGGGAGTATCATGACTTAGAGACTTGAGGCAGACACGATCACCCACGTGGCCTAACCCCCTCGGGGGGGGGGGGGGGGTCGGGCCCGAGGGTGATACGGCCGCCCTTCTCTTTGTCTCCCCGAGGGGTCGGACCGCTCCCGTCTCGGCCCCGAGGGCCGAGGCGCCCCGACCCCTTGTGGGTTTTGCGCCGCGTATATGGGGTAGGTGAGCATAGCGGGGCTCACCTAACCGCATTTATTGCGGTTTGGACGAGCGCGTCACGCCACATGTAGCGCAGTATGGCATGCTCGTTTATCCGGTCTGTGACCGGTCACAGATCGGTCAGATTGCGGGTTAGGAGGCAACAGGCGATCTGACACACGCCTCGCCCCGTCCCGTCAGGATGAGAGTCTCTAGGCACTCGTCCCTAGCCGGAGCCAGCGTGCTAGCTCCTGGAGATGGCACGTTGGTCCTGGTCAGATATATGCCAGGCTTTATCCCAACCATTATAAGCAAGACGTTGTATGAAGAAGGGCGAACATGCAGATTGCTAAACTGACACGTGGTGGACAAAGGTGACCGGTCTGTGACTGGTCTGACACTGGTTATGTCGCCGGAAGACAACCGTGTTCCCACGTTGCACCTGCTTCCGGCGGAGTGGAGGTAGGTATGGGCCGTCCCATCAGAAGGGTCACTCGGGCAGCAGCCGTTGCAAATCTCCGCCCATTTATGAAGAGATGACAGGGTGATCCCCGAGGTCAGACGAACGAGGACGCGTGGCCACACTCAAAAACAGGCAGTGTTTCAGCTTCCAAGAGAAGGCAAGCCAAGTTTTACTATAGATAGGATGGGCCCCCACCCAAAAAGAGAGAGAGGTAGAAGTGGTGCATGTGGTATCCCCTTAAGATATAAAAGGAGGACCTTGCCCACTTAAGAGGGAGAGGCCGGAAGGGGGGATGATCTGGAGAGGGGATCCCACGAGAAAAAAAAAAGGAGAAGAGGGTTTTTAGAATAAGAGCTCTCTGGCTCTCCAGCTCTTTGTAGCTTCTTCATACACAGATCCACCAGAACACAGGAGTAGGGTATTACGCTTCTCAGCGGCCCGAACCTGTATACATCGCCAGTGTCTTGTGCTTTTTCCATTCTCGCGAACTTTCCACAGACTAGGAGCTTAGAATCTCACCCAGGGCCCCCGGCCGAACCGGCAAAGGGGGGCCTGCGCGGTCTCCCGGTGAGGAGCCCCACGCTCTGTCAGCTACGAATAAATCTACAAAAGTTTTACTTATAAATTAATTTTAATTTTCTAATAAGCCAAATAAGCCATTTTAAACAAAATGGCAACCGATGAGAGCCTTAAATATCCTAGACATGTGAGTTCTCAAAGATGGAGTATTTGTGACCTTTTGTCTCGAAGCCTCCAGATTGACCCAATGGATTCTATTCTCATATATTGATCCAACGGTCCTTTTGTTTTACCAGTCTCATCCGATGGTGCTTGCAATTTCCGACGACGTGGCTCATTCTTCTTTCAAGCAGCTTGCTGCTTTCACCTATCTAGAATCCTTATGGTCAGAGGTAACACAAGCTTTGGCTACCATCCCTGGGCAACACTCAGCTGATAGGCCTGATATTATTAATCATGTATTCCATGTTAAGCTGCACCTCTTCATGAACGACATCGTAAAGAAGAAATTTTTTTGGCCCTGTCACTACAGGTAATAATTTAATTGTTTATGAATCATGACACAACATACTACACACTTCATATATTAGAATATTTTGTATGTGTCATTCTCACATAATTTTTCCTTTTATGTAGTTGTGTACACAATTGAATTTCAGAAGCATGGACTTCCACATGTTCACATCATATCGTGGTTAGATAAGAGTGGTCCATTGACACTTGCTGATATTGACAGACTAATATCGGCACAGCTTCCAGATCCATCCATTGATCGAGTTGGTTATGACGCTGTTGCGGCATTCATGATGCATGGACCTTGTGGTGATGCAAATCCATATTGTTCATGCATGGTTGACAGTAAATGCTCAAAGAATTACCCAAAGGAATATTGTGATAAAACAACAATCCTGCCAAATGGCCATGTAAGGTATGCTCGGCCAAAAAAATGATATAATTGTTGCCAAAAATGAAATTTCTCTTGATAATCGGCATGTTGTCCCCCACAATATCGATTTATTAGTCAAATATGAGGCGCATGTCAATATGGAAAGAGATAATCGTGATGGAATGGAAAAGTATCTATTCAAATATGTTGCTAAGGGTTTTGATTGTTCGAGGGTTGGTCTCAAGCGCAAACGGGCATGTGCTGGAACTAATGAGATTCATGACTATTTAGAATGTAGATGTATAGCGCCGAATGAGGCAGCGTGGCGTTTGCTTCAGTTTAAGATTCACTATACTGATCCTGCTATTGAGCGTCTCCATGTACATATGCCATTAGAGAATAGTGTTACATTCATAGAGGATGATAATCTAGAATAGATCTTGGATAACCCACGCAATCGTGTTACGAAACTTACAGCATGGTTTGCTGCAAATAGAGAATACTCTCAGGCTGCTCCATATACATATGCAAAGTTCCCAGAATACTTTACTTGGCATGGTAATGGTAAATATTGGGCTCCACGAAAAAATTGCCGCAAGAAAATTGGAAGGATAGCACATGTTTGTCCTGACCAAGGAGATGTGTACTACCTTAGAATGTTGCTGCACATTGTCAAAGGAGCAAAATCCTATTCTGATCTTTGGACCATTGAAGGACATGTATATCCTACATTCCAAGCTGCATGTCAAAGCCCTAGGCCTTCTTGGTGATGACCGTTATGTTTTTTTCCGTCTTTTTTTATGTACATGCGGATGGTTTTTTTTTCTTCCGGCGAACATTAGGAAACCTTTTAATTTTTTTTTTGTTTTCAATCATGTTTATACAGAAGAACAACATTACCGTTTGTACCTTATAAACTCGTACGTACGGCAGAACGATTGCAGCGGTTGTATGTTATAAACATGAGGAAATTATTTTTTTTTAATAATAGATCTAATCTAATGGTGTAAAATAACGGATCCACCAATTTAAGTAAAAATCAATGGTGAGATTAGATAATGCCATGTGGTGACTTAGGAGAGTTTGTAGGAGTGCCACGTGGCAGCTTAGGAGCGTTTGTAGGAATGCCGAACGATTGTAGCGGTTGTACGTTATAAACATGAGGAAATTATTGTTTTTTAATAATAGATCTAATCTAATGGTGTAAAATAACGGATCCCCCAATTTAAGTAAAAATCAACTGTGAGATTAGATAATGCCATGTGGCGACTTAGGAGAGTTTGTAGGAGTGCCACGTGGCAGCTTAGGAGTGTTTGTAGGAAGTTTAGTGGACTTTTAGTACATAACTAGAAAGGTAGCCCGCGCACATGCGCGGGCACCTTCTTATATAATGTGAGTGAAATTTTATTATGAATATTTATGTGCGGGTGGATTTTTATTAAAATATCTTGTATTTTTTTCTAAACTAAAATTAAATTTATTTTGTGTGCTTTAAAAGCTGGTTATATTTTTATAATTACCCTTGCAACATATAAATTCTAAAATAAAATTACTTGAGATCATGTGGTTTTGAATTGATGAGAAAATATTGTGTCGAAACAATGGAGGTGGCTCCTATGATAAAATTTAGGGTATTTTAACTCGCCAAAAGGATATCTTACAACCTCAATAGAAATCCAATAATATCATTTTTTTGTTTGATTGTATTTTAAAATTATATATATTTTTCATTCTAACCGTCCCTTGTAAAATGTTTGAATTTTTCTATCAAGTATTGGTTTTAAATCCAGGAACATGTATCCAATTTTCAATTTATTTCATGTCCATTTGTTTTTCTTTTGGATAGTTTCATTATATGAATCATCAAATGATTTGATCTTTGCAATTTGGGATGAAAATATAAGAACACATAACCTAGTATGGGGTAAAGGCATACATTCTAAATTTTCTCTCCTGAGATATTGAAGTAATGGTCATAATGTATTTAGCGAATCATCACTAAAGTGTATTGTCTTATAACAAATACGTTTCTAGATTTTTCTACGTCAAGACTTTACAATGTATTGTAGCAAGTTTAGTAAAAAAATAATAAAAAAGGACATGGCCATTAATTCCTATATGGAACTGACTTGATTTATTGCTAAGGCCACTGCAAGTTTGTTCCACTGTTAAAATCCTTAGGTACAACCCACATACTTACCGGTATGCTGTTCAACTAACCACACCTTTATTTTCATCCTATTGTCAATATTGCTAGATAAATACCTGCTATGATTAGTGACTTCGTAGATCATATGTGTAATTTGGACGATATGATCATCTTTCTTAAAAATATTTATTTTGTCCTAAAAACATCATTTTAAAAGTATCAATGTTAATTTGTATAGGCATGTCAAGAGAAATTAGTTAAGTTGGCAGAAAGTCGTTAGATGCCTAACATGATATAATTAATAGATGGAGGTCCATTTGTGTTTTGTTCCCATATAGATAATTTTAATTTTAGATAAAAACAGAGAAAAAAGAATGGCGCACGCTGTACATGGGCAGAGAGTGAGGGAAGTTTGGGGTGTTTTTCTAAATGATTAATCTAACAGACTAAAATAATGTGTCAGATGTTTTTTATCGAAACCGATGGTCGGATGTTTTGTTTTCTTGTCAGAATTTTATTAGGATTTTCTTTGATTTAAGAGAATGATATAACATCTTAAGAGCATTTATAAGATGTATAATGAACTTTTAACACCGTACGCCGCAAAGGAGGGAGGGAGGAAAGTTTAGGGTGTTCTTTTTTTAAAAGAAAAATATATGTAATGACCTAAAATAATGTGCCAATTAATCCATTGAAAATAATGTGTCCATAGATTTATGTATTATCTAATGGTTGGGTGTTTTTTTTTTCCAAAATTTCTAAGATTTTTCTCTAATTTAAGAATGTTATATAGCAGCTTAGAGGCATTTATAAGATATTTAATGGATTTTAACACCGCACAGGGATGGGAGGGAGGGAGAGATGTTTGGGTTTTTTCTTATTAAAAAACTAACAAATCGATAGCCAAATGTTTTGTTCTTTTTTAAGATTTTCTAGTATTTTATTTAATTTAATAGCACCACGGAGCAGTTTAGAAGCATTCGTAGGATATTTAGAGTCACAGAGAGATGTAAAAATAATTTTGATTATAATTTCTCATGAACATAGCTCGTTGGTACGTACGTGACGGGAGGTTCGGAATGTGTGCTTTTCTTCTAAAAAAACTAACCTTCTAAAACAATAATAATGGATCCACCGATTTAAATAAAAATCGATGGTTGGATTAGAGTGTCACTTGGCGACCTAGGAGCGTTTGTAAGGTACCACTTGGCGAATTAAGAGTATTTATAGAATGTTTCATGAACCTTTAGTATATAATTGTCTTTTTTTTTGAAATTTCTAAGATTGTCTTTAAGTGATATAGTAGCTTAGAGGTGTTTATAAAATGTTTAATGGATTTTAACACTGCACGGGGGTGGGAAGGGAGGTAGAGAGGTTTGGGATATTTTTATTAAAAAATCTAACAATAAGAATCCATCAATTTAAGTAGAAATCGATGGTTTGTTGCTTTGTATTTTTTAAGATTTTCTAGCACTTTCTCTTATTTAATAGTACCACGTAACGATTTAGTAGTACTTTCTCTAATTTAATAGTACCACGTAGCAATTTAATAGTACCTAGTAGTTGGTCTATTTGTGTTTTTTTTCCTGTAAAAGTATTTTTGTTTTTATTTTCTCATGAAATAGAAAATAACACATGAATGAAAATATGGAAGGACAGAAGGGAAGTATGTACAGTACATACGTACATACGTTCGACTATTACGTACGTTTGTACGTTGGTTCCGTATTCTTTTTTTCTTATAAAATAGATCTAAGTAAATCTAACCATCCAAAATAATGGGTCCACTAATTTAAGTAAAAATAGATGGTCATATTTCTCTTATTTATTATGGTGCCACTTGGCGACTTGAGAGTGTTCATAGGGTGCCACTTGACGGTTTGGGAGCGTTTATAGGAAGTTTAATGGACTTTTAGTATATAATAGATAGATATAGATAGATAGATTAAATACATTCATGGTGCGTACATGGAGTAAGACTTTCTAGTGTGCTTGGAATGCACCACATCTGTTGAAGGACTGCAATCTAATAACCTATAATAAAAGGTACCTACCCAAAGGTATTTAAAAGTGAGGGCCAAGTACTACTTAGAAAAGGTTAAATATGTAATTTTGGTTTCTAATATTTCAATTGAGGGGGAAGAGCAACTGGAAAATTATTCCAACCGTGCCGACGGCCGAACTGCGAAGTCCGGAGAGACCATACCATCTTCAGTCCGCAAGTGCCAACATGCGGTAGCTCGCACCTAGGTGATCGATCTGCTAGTGCCAATTGTTGATCGTGTAACAAATGAAGAAACTAAGTAATTCATTAGTATGGGAATACCATAAAACTGGATGATAATTGAACTATGCATGTAATTCATGATTAGAACTAAATAATTGATCTGCATGCGTATCTTTCCTGATATATATCTATATAAAATTTTGGTTTCCCTTTAGGTCTCGTAACTGATCGACTAACTGATTTTCACAATATTTACGGATGATTAATTGTGGAGACTGCTTCTAAACAAAGACGGTATAAAGTCTGGTTTTGAATCATCCATCACAGGAGTATATGAATAGGTGAGAAGGAAGGCAAGACCTACAACCGATCGACTGACTGATTATGATGTCTAAAGAATAGTAATAATTACTAAATTACCCATCTATATGTTAATTTTATTTCTAATTTATCCTTTGATGATTAAGGTTTGGTTTAGTTTCTAACTTTTTCTTCAAACTTTCAATTTTTCCATCACATCAAAACTTTCCTACACACATAAACTTCCAACTTTTTTCTTCAAACTTCTAATTTTAGTCAAATTTTCAATTTTTGCGTGGAACTAAACACACCCTAACAGTGGATGTTTGAGTTGATCAGAGGTACCTACGGTACCTTCTAAGCACCGTAAAAGATCTCATTAATTAATTATATACGGAATCTCTTGCTCAGCGCTAGCTAGCTAGTCAGTCACAGGGAGACACGGCCTCTCTCTCACACACACGCACACGGAGAGAGAATGGTGCAGAGCACCAACCGAAAGGGTGCATGTATCTGTGCCTCTTGTTTT